CAATATCTCCAGTTAATTTGTTTGACTGCATCAGTTTCCGTTTCTCCTCCAATGATAAGTGTTTTGTCAGTAAGAAGATTTGTACAGAAACAGATCATGTCGTCGAGTTTTTAAAGATTAACGCTCGAATATAAAGAAAGTTGTTATTTTGAAAGAAAACCTGATTTGATGTCGATATCGAGACGTTTGTAAATAAAATGTTTCACACGTTAAATGTCTCAACTCAAGTTGTGCGACTCTTAATAAATGATTTTGTCGTTGAATTTACGAAAACATATTTTGGTTGTTACCAGAAAAACTAACGAGGTTCGCGGCTGTGAAATACTGACATTTTCTCCAAAACCAAAATGAGTGAAAACTTGATTTAAATTTAAAACCTGTTCAGGCGTCTTTCTACAGAAATAAAACCACATGTTGAAATATTAGAAAAATAAACTGCTGATGTTCACGTCCACTGAAAAATCCCAAGAGGTCTAGAAACAAAGTTTATCTGGATTATTCTCAAAACTAGAATCTGAAAAAACGGTTTCTGTGATTCTCGTTCATTCACATCAGATCAAAAGTTTCTTCATGAGAACACACGACACTCAAGAGACATTTTCCAGCGAGACCTGAACGCAGCAGACGGACACAAGACGCGGTGCATTCTGGGACATTCAGTAACGACTCTGCAGACTGACTGGTAGAAAAATATCCTGTAGGTCCATCTGTCTTTGTTTGACATCTTCAGCTACAGAGAGAGAGAGAGAACATGAAACTCGGCCGAGTTGAGGAGTTTGGTTTGTAAAGAAAAAGTTTCAGATTAAATAATTTACAGATGATAAAGTTTGGAGGAAAAGTTAAGATCAGTTTGAGCTGAATGCTGACGTCAGGACAGCGAGATGCTGATGCTGCGTCTGTGTGAACAAAAAACAAAAACTCCAGGAAGTCGACTGAACAGCGAAAACACCAGCGGACACGAGACCATAACCTGTAACAGCCACCAGGGGGCAGACATGAGTCCACCACAGCCAAAGATTCATATTACCCACAAATCCACCAGAAAGCGTCTCGTCTACAGTGACTGGGATCGAGCGGTGAACAAACACCTGCAGATTTAGAGACTGAACTTCCAGTAACTCAAAGATTCACTGAAACATCTGAACAGAAACAGTGACTCACGTTCCATCGTCTCAGCTCAGCAACAAATAATCTCACGTCTTCAAACCGAGACTTTTCTATCTGGAATGTGATATTTTCACCTTTAACAAACTTTATAAACAAAATGAACAAAAATAAAAGAACAAAATGGCACAATTTGGTTTTCCAACCTGCAGATTGTGAGAAAGTCAGAGACCAAACTCTCGACGACAGCACAGAGGGCGGGAGGACGTCAGAGAAAGATGTTCTGGACTCATTTCACTTTGTGTCATTAACCTTCACGGTGAATCAGTTTTTATCTGAGGATGAAGATTCACCTTCAGGATCTGGTCGTAACCAACCTGCAGCACGTTTTCATTTAATAAGAATATTAGGAATAATAATAGTACCCCCCCCCACCAGGTGAGAAGCAGAGACAGAGCTCGTCATCATTATTATTAAATCTCAAACTGGAACGACTGATCAACAGAACTGAGCCTCAGGACTCGTTCACACGTCGTCTGTCTCAGACTGAACATCAGCTGTGAACGGTTCCTCTGACCGACGCCAACACGTAGAGGCTGCTAGTGACGCCATGTTACCATGGCAACCAGATCAAGCTTCATTCGTTTCCTCCATTCAAACAGAAAGACTGCTACCCCCCCCCCCCTCCCCACCTGACAACACGTCAGACTCCGTCTACAAACCAATCAGAGTCAAGTATAGGTAGACTCCGCCCACGTGGGTGATGACGTCATTACAACGTGAAACTAAAACTAACAGGTCGAATGAAACAGGAACAAACACGAAGCTTCAGACTCGACAGGAAACAGAACGAGTGAATGAGAAACAAACGACTGAACTTCACGCTCGTCCAACTGTTTCACTGAACGTCTGTATGTTTGGAGAGGACGATGATGTCACAGTCAGAGGTCGGACATGCAGAGTGTGACCGTGTCCCACAGCTGTCGTCATAGTAACAGTTCCAGCCCTGTTTTATGCAGCCAAGCAGTCCGGTGGTAAGCTGTCAGTGTGTGGAGACGGGTGGAGACTACACGTACGCAGCAGAGCCTACCACAATCAAACACACCTGGACCTTGGCCACACACTGCCCCCTACAGGTACAGGAGACTTCTTCCTCCCCCCCAAATCGTATATCCCATAATGCAAGTCCAGTGACCATCTGACACTTGGTCTCAGCTGTGCAGTAAATTCAACGTACCTCCACCTCATCACTGGTCCTGTACAGGGAGGGGCGCTTGATCTCCTGAACTCTGCAGACCTGGCGGGTGGAGTTAGGTACAGCAGATACTGTGTTTACGGGGGGGGGGGGGCAACCAAACAGCGGCTGTTTAGTTTGTTTTAGTTTTTAATCTGATGTCGTAACAATAAAGTTTCACTAGAAAAAAGATTCATGAAAAAGATATGATCGAAAAAAACTCAGAAAATAATAATAAAAATAATAATTCAGTCAAATTCAACTTGTAACTTGGTTCATGTTGGTTTGTGCGTCCGAGCAGATTTCATGGTTGAGACAGAAAAGTAATGAAGAGCCGCTGGATTAAAAACATTATGACGTGTGTGACTGAACGTGTTGGTCTTTAACGGTTTTTGTAAATACATGTCACAAACATCTGGTTTCAGGAAATCATCTCATCTGGGACCAGAGAATCTTTGAGTTTTGGTTGAAACGATTAATCAGGAAAGAGTTGATGTTAATAAATGTCATGCTGATTGATGACGAACGTGAACACGAGCTCCATGACGACAACGTGTCGTCATCTGTTCCATGAAATGAGCTCGACCGTGTGTTTGCCGTCTGATGTTTCCTGACTTTTATCTGAACAGTCTGAATCGGAGGAAATAAAAAATAAAAGCTCTTCATCTTGAAATGGGCCGGACCTGCAGAGTGGAGCTCAGGCCTCAGCGTTGTGATCGACCGGGCCAGCTGTCAATCACAAACTGCTGTCCTGCAGGAGTGGCTCAATGTCCTCTGTGTCACTGGTGGGCGTGGCCAGCGGGCTGCCGCTCTGAGCGTGTGCGGCTGCGGCACCGCTGGACTTGCGGTTGGAGCAGGTTTTGACGTCGTCCAGTCGCTGGTGCTCAGGAATGAAGAGAGCGACGAGGAGGGCGAATAAGACGGCACACGCTCCGAACAGGAAGGGGGGGCCAGGGATGACGGACTTCTGCAGAGACAGAGGAATTACGTTTTCTAGAAAGTACTGTGTGTGTGTGTATGTGTGTGTGTGTGTGTGTGTGTGTGTGTGTGTGTGTGTGTGTGTGTGTGTACCTCTATGTTCTTTGTGGGTCTTCCTGGCACCGGCTCCATGTCGTTCAGCTCCACATTGAACAGGAAGAAGATGAAGCCGTACAGAGCCGGACCCAGACCGTTACACAAACCTCTGATACCAGTGATCATCCCCTGAGCCACACCTGAGCGCACACACACACACACACACACACACACACACACAGTAAGTCTCTCTGGGGTCCTTCCTTCCTTCCTTCCTTCCTTCCTTCCTTTCTCTTCTTCCAGACATTTATTTTCTTTCCTCTCTCCATCAGTCGCACAGACGGGTGTACTCACCTTGTTGGTCAGGTGACGCACTGTGTGACACCAGAGCAGAGACTGCTGGGAAGGTGATGGACGACATGGCTGCTACTGTTCCGGCTGCCCACATCATCCTGGAGACGATAAAACTGATCAATAACCAAATATTAACGTATCAGAGAATCACTGATCTGTTCAAATGAGTTCCATCCCTCGTTAGAGAAAGGTTGATCGTGTTCAGGTGTTAATGACTGAACGTGACGTGAGAAATGATCTTAGACACATTTTAAACATCAAGTGACAAACAACAGATGACCACGTCAGTGACATCACTTGTGGGCGGGACTCACCACGGCTCAGAGCCGAAGCCGTACCAGGCGAGCTGGAAGAGCTGGAAGCCCAGGCCGAGGAGAACCGTCCTCTTGTTTCCAACGGTTCTCATGAGAACACTGAGGAGGAGAGTCTGACACGCACACGCACACACACACACACACACACCACGTCATGATTTTCATTTCACCCCCCCACAGCCAGAGTGTGGCGCTAGCCTCTGATTGGTTCTGTACCTGAGCGACGATGGAGAGGATTCCCACCATGGCGATGAAGGCAGCGATGGTTGCCGGAGAAAACTCAATCACCTGAAACACAAATCAACCAATCACAGCTCAGTGTCGAGGCCACACAGAGTGTGTGAGTGTGTGTGAGAGTGTGTGTGTGTGTGTGTGTGTGTGTGTGTGTGTGTGTGTGTGTGTGTGTGTGTGTCACCTGTCTCAGGTACAGGAAGAAGCTGGAGTACTGTCCAGCCTCAGGCAGGTAAGACAGAAACACTGTGACACAGATCAGCAGCACTGTTGAGTCTTTACCTACACGACGCAGAGACTGAACACAACAGAGCCATCGTCACATTATTGATACGACTGTCAATCATCATCAATCACTGACTTCAGCGCCCCCTGTGTTGATGTGTGAGTATTTGTTGTTTGAACAGCGGCCTCCACGTCTGTGTTTTTATTTCATGCCGATGATGAAGTCTGTCACAGTTACATGTTCAACACTGAGTTGACAGATTTTCAGCAATATATAAAGTTGTGTGTGTTTAGTTCCTCTGAGGCCTCGTTGACCTGCTGAGTTTTGGTTTAAAACAAACTCTGTGACTGTGTTTTGGTCTCTGAACTCACTGCGAAGGGGTCGGCCTGCTCCCAGGAGATGGGGAAGCCCCAGGACGTCAGCCTCATCTTGTCCGGCAGCGACTCGGGGACGATGAAGAACACAAAGGCGATGTCCGCCACAGCAATCACTGTGGCAACAAGGACCACCAGGCTGTCCCCGTACTGGGCCGACAGGTAGGCGCCGATAGCGGGGCTCGTCACTAAACTGGCTGCGAAGGTCGCAGAGACCTGATGAGATGAAAACACAGAGAGAGGAGGAGAGAGAGGAGGTGAAGGGGTGTGTTTCATGAATCACTGCAGCCGAGACAATCCACACATTCAAATCCTACATTTCCCACAGTGCAACTTGACTGCAGACAGTTTTCAGGTGTGTGTGCGGCTGATGTGCAGAGAGAAACTGTAGTTACCAGGCCGTAGGCTGTGCTCCGCTCGTGCTCCTCTGTGATGTCCGCAACGTAGGCGAAGATCACTGAGAAGGTCACAGCGAAGATCCCTGAGACTGAAATTAGAGCAAAATACCACCTACACACACACACACACACACA